CGATGGATCATTCGATCCAATTTTCTACGCAATTTACGAATTAACTGGACGTGTAAGAAAGTTAATAAGTTTGTCTCTTAAAGAAGAATAAAGAGAAGATCTCAGATAGCGTCAAGATTCGACCGAGTGAGGACTTTCACTCGCAAATGTTTTTGAGATACCTTTCTTATCATATTATTGCAGACCAGAAAGATGGAAAAAAGAAGGTTCAGAAAGTTCTTCACAAGTACCTCCGACAAGATCTAACGAAGAGAAGAACACTGGAGTTTCAGTAAGCATAGTAGTTTCCATCATCCTAATTTACTTTTTAATTTTTCTTTTTCGAGACAAAAAAGAATCAAGAATATTTTAACAACTTTGCGATCATAAATCGCGCCGAAATAGACTCATAAAAAGAGCTTCCCCTTCAGTCCACCCATTATAATGTATGAAACAAACGCCCAATATCTACATCTTGTTTAATTTTCGATGCCGAACTGGTCAAATTCCACTTTCGTTCTGCCACCAGCTGAAAGCACAGCCTTTTCCAATTTATTCCTTAAATTTGACCAGTCTTATGCACTTGAGGTAAGCAAACTTCAAGCGGTGTTGGCTCGGAATCTATTCCTTAATATTTAAACCATTTCCGCTGATGTATATGTAGAAAAGGCACTTGTGTGATACCTTCATTTATATGTTCCCCGCAAAATGTCAATTTATTCACTCGAAACTCCCGCTAATAGTATGTGCAACAAGAATTATTTGCCCAGTTTAAATCCTTTTACCGTAGGGACAAAATAAATATCGTTACCACAATCACCCATAGTTCGTGATCATTTGACTTCCATGATTATCAGCTCTTCCTTTCTTCATTATTACTATGTTCTTTTCCCTTCGAGCTCACGGACTCTATTGTGTTCCCTAACTCAAACTTTCTGGCAAAAAATCCTGTACCGTGGATCATTACTTGGTGACAGTTACCCAATAATTTACTAGATTTGGTTAGGTTTCGAAATACAGGTCGCCTATGTTCACGCACTTAATTCCAAGCACTATTTTAGTTTGTGTATGCTTCCCTCTTTTTGAAGCGTCCCTAGAATTATCACTTACTCCACTGCAGAGCTTTAACGCGAAAATCTGGAAACGCGAGAAACCAGATCTAAACTAGAACCCCCCGTGTTTACCTTCACTCCCAGAAGAGTGATCGCCACAGTCAAGCAGTATAAGCGTAAGCATATTTAGAAAATGATGTTTTAGTGAACATGAACATTCAATAGTGGCTGGTCCGCAATAGAATGTACGATAAAGCTTTTATTTTGAGAAAAACTGCATCGTTTGTCTACGCGGACTGGTAGACTCTCCTGAATGCCGGTAGTGGAAGGGTTGAGGTGACGGACTACTCTGCCCATAGGCGAGTCCGTCAGACAGCTTAGTACCTAAATAACATCTACCATGTTAGTACGGCAAAGTAAGTCCTCTTAGAAAAAAAAAAAGGAAGAACGATTATGAGAAGCACAAGTTTGGTTTGAATGTAGATGGAATATTCTTGCGCGCAATCCTAAGATGCCAGCAATTTGAGCACTTATCTGAACTAATAAAATGGATATTCATCTGGACCATAAGATTGTCTACGTCGATTTAAGCGCTGGTACTTGTTGGCATGCTCATTTCTATTGTCATCATTGGGCAGACG